CATTATTCTCGGACGGCGTCAGTCAGGGCAACACCCGCATCAACCCCTGCCTCACCGCCAGCGACGCCGTCAAAAAGCCCGAGCCGTTCCACCAAGTCGACGATGAGGTCGATTTTCAGTTTCAGTCCCGTGTCCACGAGTTTGGAGCCGAGCACACTATCACCATCGGCGAGGACACCGCCAATTACTCGGCCCGCGTCTACTTCACCCTAGGCGATCGCAGACGCAAGCTGCTCCGAAAGCGCACCTTCTTCTTTCAGCGCCAGGCCCTCACCGCTTATCTGCACCGCCAGTTTCTCGCCTATCTCTTCAACCACTACGTGCGGAAGACGGGCGACAAAAGCATGAACTTTGCCCGCCTCAACGCCACCGAGTGGCACTTTGAAGTCGACGTGGACAACCAGTTGCCCATCATTCAGCTCAACCGCGAGAATATCTTCCGCATGGTCTCCGCCGTCAAGTACACCACAAAGGCCCGCGGCATTTTCCCGCGCGGGCCCGAGGCCTTCCGCCTGGGCGCCGCCGTCCTCAAGGCCGGTACGGGCGTGCGCGTCACGGGCCCAGACTTGAACGACTTTGACATGGGGTCCGGGAGCACGTGGCCGAGGGAGGCGCTCATGTGGCAGGAGGAGAGCCGAGTGTTGAACTGGCTGGGCTTGCTCGTCGTGCTGGCCTGCGCCATGGCCATGTACGGCTCCTTGCGCTGGCTGCTCAAGCCCATCGGGACCGCGGAGATTGCCGGCGTTTGGGTCGGTCGCAAGGTCGGCGCGGAAGAAGGGAGGGGGCCGGCTTTCATGGGCGTTGACGAAAGTAAGTTTTTCAAGGTTGATTGGGATAGCGAGGACGATGACTACTCGAGCGGGACCTACTGGGGGAGCGGTAGTTTGGTTTAGACTAGTTTCAACTCATCGCACTTCAAGAGAATAGTGTACTATTTATGTTGAGGAGCCCGCAAGAGTGGCACATGCCATCGTTTGTCTTTGTACAGAATACGAAAAGGACTTTTCCTGTTAATAGAAAAACACACGCTGCCTTCACATCACTGCGATATACTTAGGACAGCGGCGTCCGCAGGGTAATCCCTGGCAATGTACTACAAACCCCTTTATTCGCGTCCCTGACTGATACCAAAAAAAATCTCTACGGCAGTGTGACTCCGCTCCACAGCAGCGGCTGACGGCACGTCGTGAAGGAGAAAGATTCTCTCGGGTACATCTATGGGTCCAACTGCACGTCGTCCAATGCAATCAGGTGATTGTACTCCCTTCCCACGCCGAGCCACGAACCACACAAGGACCCTTGGACACTTGCGTTCAGGTAAATGATGCTATCCTCCGCCGCAGGGCCTTGGTACGTCGCCGTCACCTTCACAATGTACTGTAAATGATTCATCCGTTTGCTTGATCCGTGACTGGGTCGCAAGTTTCCGGGCAATTGTCCATCCGCGCCAACACCTCTCCTACGTAGATGGTACTTGAATCGCATGCTTCCTGCTCAAGGGTGGTAATGTTAAGGAGACATCTGCACGAGAGACAGCTGGGCTAGAAACGAGAAAACAGTGAATCTGAAAGGCGTGGAGGTCATCATGGTGGAAGTTCGGTGCACGTCTCCCGAGTGAGTTGGTGGAAGACGGCAGAGTAGGGGCCGAGCTTTCTTATACACGGTGCACTGCCGGTGCTTCGAAGAAGGAATCCTCCCCAAACCCGAGCGTATTTACGGATGAGGTCGTCATGTGAGTATGTGTGCCTGACACAATGCACGTCTCCACAACCTGGTTTCACCGCTTTGCCTTCTTTCTTAATGAGGCGGGAATGGAACTCACGCCCTTGGACTGATACCTCCTCCCATAAATGTTGCACATGTGCTGGTTTATTCTCACGGGGTGTCCAAAACTCCTGTGCAATATCGGCAATGGGGAACACTGGCGCAGGAGATATGGAGAGGGGACGCAAGATGGCAATAAAGAACAGGATATACAGCAGGATTCTGTAGGAGTGCAGTACGTGTAGTACAGTATGTAGTCACCATCATGGTTACGGCCGAGGACCTACCGAGGAGAATAGAATCGCATGTAAAAGGCTCGAGACGAGCGCGAGTGCATCGTGTCTGCATGAAAGGCAGGGAGACTGTCAGGAAATACACTCACCGGAGAGGCTGCACCCCACAGGCCTGGAACTCCTTCAGTTTGGGATGACCCCTGGGGTGATCCCAAACTGAAGGAGTTCCAGGCCGCATCATGACCGCATCTCTAGAGCAAGCAGATACGGTGCATCTTGGCAACCTAGCCATAGGTGAAGTCTTCGGGCCAAGACAGAGCAAGAGGAGGCAGCGGTAGATGTGGATTGGTTATCTGTTCAGGTGTGGATGCTAATTTTTACGACAAAGCGACAGGTTTGAGGCGAATTGCCCAATCTTACGTGTACATGACGGCGCGCCTTGTCACCGCGCCGGGGACGCGTGTACCACTCGAAGGGTACACACAATGACTCTTCGACGGCAGGCTCGAGTTTGGATGTAACATTATGACGTGAACTCTCAACAAGGGCAATGTCAAGGGCAATGACCACTGTTAGATCGGAGGACCATGCATGAATGCAAAAGACTTCTCCACCGCGCCGTGAAGCAATTTTGAAATATTTCTATGTGCGCCTCAGTACTTCGACTTGTGACTTAGCCCTAGTGTCTAGGTGACAAATATTGACCGCATATGAGGCCGGGCGCGACGGCGTACAGAGGCTGCCGTATGATCGGTTGGGTTAGGCTGTCGATCCCACTCTCTTGTTTTCAAATACATGCGCGAAAAGGCTCCATGGCATGACACAAACCAAATTGTTGCATAAAAAGCCCAGAAAAAGCAACTTCCATTGCTGTAGCCTCTGCGTTGATACTAAACGCTACAGAAACGTACGTCCCTGTTGCTCAAAAACGTATGGCTAGATTCAAAAACAAATCTTTCCTTCGCCATTCCCGCCCACAAAAAACCCCGCGCACTTCTTTTCGTCGTCATACGAGCACAATTGCATCCTGGACGTCCCAATAGACAATACATTCCCTCTCAGGACTGTCAAAGTATTGAACATCTCACAGACACACACAACCGCATAATGCCGGTGTTCCGCAGGCGCGTTGCAGCCCCTGCGTCTATCGACGTCGCACTGGAATATGTACGAGACGACAACACGTACCGAGCGGCTGAAATCAAGTACGGCATACCCCGAGCGACAATGCACAGAAGAATGCACAGTGCTGTTAAAAACAAGGGCCGAAAGGGCGCCTTAAACGCTGTACGGGAACAGGTAATAGTTGGGTTCTCCTACAAAACGACAGGAACGGGCTCCCGATGACGCAAAACACCTTTTCTAATCCATAAAAATCTTTATCTCACGAATGTCTCCCGAGCGGAGCTAGCTTCTGCCAACTGAGTGGAGTGTAAAAGCTCTCAGCAACGCCTTCTTAGACCGGTTCCGCCAACGCCACTCTCACCAACTAGCCTTTGCGCGCCCTGTCACGCAAGAAGGTATTCGCTGTCGCCAGGTCAACGCTGTGTCTATGACAAGCCATTCTGCGACACCACAGAAGCTGATCAATGACTACCAAATCGACGCCTCCAGACTCTTTAACTTCGATGAATGTGGCTGTACACCGAATCGGGAAGCAGGGGCAAAATCTCCTACACGAAGGATTATGCCCCGCCGCGGCACACGGGACATGCAAAGACCTGATATTGCCAACGTCTCTAGAATCACAATGATGCCCGTTGTTTCGGCCGTCGGAGAACACGGCCCACCACTGTTTGTAATGAAAGGGATTCGAATTCCGTGCAGGATTGCTCTTCATAATGGGGAAAAGGTGGTTGAGACACCACTCTCGGCGCTGCCTAGACACTCCGTGCTTGCAATGAGGGAAGAAAATGGGGGCGTAGATCGGCCGATCTAAAATTGTGCCTGCACAATTTTATCAGTTGGGATCACAAATGTGTCAGTAATGTGTCTTATGTTACCGAGAACAACCGATGTGTTCTTTTGGTGTACAATGGATATAGATATCACCTTTTCCTCGATGCTCTTGACTTATTTCGTCGAAATAATATCGTTGTATACGTTTTGCTTTGTCATACATCTGGCAAGACCCAGCCGTGTGACTCCGTTTTGTTCTCTTCTTTCAAGAATATCATTGAAATTGGTCTGCACAACTGTATGCATGCTACAGACAGGGTATTTGATGTCTACGATTTTTGCAATGTTTTACGATACGCATATGATATGTCAGTCACTGGCGACAACATCCGGGCCAGTTTTCTACGATCTGGACTGTGGTCGTTAGATCGACGTCGAGTCCTCAGCGATCCTCGGCCAGAATCTGCGAGATCTGACGCGCACGCGCCTATTCTTACGGTGGAAGATTTGGCTGCTTTTAAAGAAAGGATGGCTAAGATTAAGGACCAAATCTTAGGCGCGGATGCAGTAATGACAGCATCTGGATATGTAAATACTTCTAATTGTTGTGTAGTAACTGCACCACAGGCTCTGGCGTTGGTCCGCAGAAAAGAAAAGGGCAATGCATGCAAGCGACGCGCAAAAGAAATTGAAAGGCTCGAAGTGGAGCTCGCACGCCTGATAAGACGGTCCCAGCCAGTCAAAAAACAATCACGTAATAGGCATCGCCATGGACAAGTAGTAAGGAGTGAGCAAAAGGTCAGAAGACGGTCGATAGTGGAACGTCGATTGGTGGCAAAGCTCCGTACTTTGCAAGCGATGCCACTTTGAGTTTTTGATTAAGATATTTGGATGAGTCGGAGTGACGTGGGGTGGTCTTTTGGTCAAAAAAGGGCAATATACCGGGCCACTTTTGGGAGTTGTCCGATTTTTCTGAGAATGTCTTCTGCCTTTGTCATTAGCAGATCCAATGCAATTTTTTTCCGCTGATGACAATACTGTTTACAAGACTGTAGTCACTCTCAGATATTTCATTGCCTAACGGATTGATTGAGGGTAAAATTCGCTCTCAGAGAGATTTCAAACCTGAGGAATGAAGCTAACTGGCAGGTTGTGTCCCATATTTTCGTGCCCCCCCTTTACTCTCGCCACCGCAGTTGACTTTTGCGTTGCGGAAGGGTAGAGTTCGGTGAGATGAGCACGTCTTTTCCAGCTATTTTTAGAATGCCTGAAAAAGAAGCCTTTTTGACCAACCTCAAAAAAATTACGTTGATATCTTCGAAAGCAAAACGCCTGTTTAAAGAGTCAACTGATCATTGAAACTTCATTAGATTCTTAGTCTCTCTGTGTATTGACAACTGCCATCTCAATGTTTTGCAAGATGTTATTGCCGAGGGCCTATACGTTCAAGAAATCGTGCCCAGACTGATTTTTTTAAGGTTTCGAGTTAATTTATATATTTTTGCAAAAAAAGCTGGTCTCATATGAGGTCAAATTGCCGGTCGTCTAGACACTAATTGAGCTTCACCTCTATCTAGGGATGTAATAGGTCTCAAAGGCAGATCCTCGCTGCGTGCAGCAAGATTTACTTCACATGCAGAACAAAGGTAAATATGTATGCACTTGGTCTTTACGAAGTTTCTTGATAATCATTGGCCATCCTCAGTCTTTTCGAGAATTTCGTTATGATAAACTAGAACATGGGCAACTGTAAACTGATATCACTATTGTTCCGTTCCACAACCATTCGGCTCTTCCAAAAATCTTCCGCAAGAGACGCACCCGAAATCCGTCACCTCCCTCTCCCATCCGCCCGCGTGAGAGACAACAGCTCATGTGAGCTGTTGTCTGTGTGAACACACCCCCTATTTCCAGGTGCACCACACAGTGCCACCCTTCTCACTCTCCCCCCCGCCACTTGGCCGCCCACTTCCGCCCAACTCCCGCCGCTCCTCATGGGCACTACACCCATCCATCTGACCCGCCAGCATTTGCCCCTTTCCCGTCCGTCCCGGCCCTCACTCACCCTTCCAGTACTCTCCCTGCCCAGTTCCTCCCCCACATGCCTCCCCGACTCCCGGGTCCAGCCGGCAAGTGCTGCAGAGCACCTTCGACGCGATCGTGCCGGAGCACATATCCGATTTCGGCCAGACCCCTGCGGAGGCGGTGTCCGACGCGCGCGCCCAGCTGACCGCCGCGGGCCTCACGGACCAGTCCAACCTCTCGGACCCGACGTCGTCCGGCCCGGCGGACGTACAACAGCGCGCCGCGGAGCTCTTGGCTGCGCTGCGGGCAGACCTGGCCCTCCCGTGCGACGCGGTCGCCGCGGAGCGCATCGCACGCCCCCTGCAGGCGGCAGAGGCGGCGCTAAGCAGGGCGGCGCCCTGGGCGGCGCACACAAAAGCCGTTGCACGCGAGGGCAGCAAGGGATCCGAGAAGGCGGAGGTGGAAGAAGACGACGCGGGCGTAGCGCAGCTGCAGGATCTGCAGGACCAAGGCGACGGCGGCCGCGAAGTGCACGGCCAAGGGGCAGGCCTGGAGAGTTGTGCTACCCGGACGACGAAAGAGGGGATTGTGTTTTTGCGTGTGGACATTCAGGCGTGCTGGGATCATGGTTACGGCGTTTACACACTACGTTTATGAAAGAGAGCAAGAGGCAAGTTGCACGCACAATCAGTGAAGCGTCCGAGACACGCACGAGATGTAGTTTTAGTCGGACTCATCTGTGCGGTTGATGGATCTGAATTGCATCTCCACTCGGCGACGACGCTTTTCGCGATAACGCCTTTGCACCTGGCGCCGTTTTTGAATTTGAGATGTTGGTATATGATAGCGGCGGTTCTTCATCGTCCTCAAAATTTTGGAGTCCTCAGCGCGTAGAGGATTCTTGTGTAAATGAAAGTTTGTCAGTCCCACACATAAACGAAAAATACTGTCATAACCCGCCTCACTCCATTTCCACTTCGCTGCCATGATATTCCAAAGACCACAAAGCCTTCCAAAAAAGTTTTCCACTATAATTCTATCGCTTGAAATGTGCCTGTTATTAGAAACCTCGGCTTGCGTAAGTGTTCCATTGATCGGCTTTTTGGTCGGATGGATCACACGACAGAACTCCTTAGCCCCATAGTATCCTTTATCGCACAGTACAGCCCAATAGTTTGGGAACTCATTCGACAAGGGCCCATCATCCTCTATGTCATTTTCACCTTCCCCTTCACCTTTGCAAAGTTGTTTCGAGTGAAAGGGTAGCATGGCCTCGAATATTTTTAAGTCTGACACTGACCCAGGCTCGTGAGCGCTGCAACCTAAAGCAAGGCCATTTGGCAATACCGAGACCTCAGTCTTGTAGCCATACAATTTATGTTTCCCGCTATAGTACAGCTTGCCTTCCTCCACGCTGCCACTCGGGCGGAAACTTTGCTGGAATGTCACATCAGTGGCATAACGCGCAACAGGGTAGTTTTTAAACCCGACTTTCGTGCTCTCCATGACGGCCATTTTCCATTTCTTACCTTGATATTCCACATAGTGATGGAAGACCGGATAAGAGATTATGTCTACAAATTTCATAATCATTCGCTCAAACGTAGGACCTTTCAAACTGAACATCTTGGCCAAGAAGTCCCATTGGCCTCCATGTTTTAATACAGAGAGTGTCATAAACAGGACATCACGTCGAGTATGGGAGCATTTGCGTCCACACCCTGCATTGTACCTCTCTTTGATGGCCTTTTCCAGGCTGCACCAAGTGGAATGGAATTCTGTCGGACTGAAGTTGGTCATCTGTATGACGGCGGCAGCGCCCCCCTTTTCGTAGAACTGATCATAAATGGGGGACTCACTTTCCACCTCATCGTCCGTATCGACGGCGTCAGAGTCTGACGCATACTCCTCCAGGTCTGCACGGCGCTCCACGGCGGCATCGGAGAGCAGGAGTAGAGCTCTTGAAGCTTGCGTGGGGGTCACAGATGCCATATTATGGCGCTTGTGAAAAGGTGTGGGGTCAAGGAGGGAGAGGGAGTGGATTGGTGTGGTTTTAGTGCGGTGGGGTGCTGTGCGGGCGCGCGATGTTGACATGTTTCCGAAAGACCAGAGCCTATTGTAAAAGACCGCCCTTTTTTGAACTGGACCGATAATTTTCGTAAATCATTACAGCTCAGGTTATGACAAAGTCGATCGAAAACAGATCTAGTGGACCTGACAATACCACGTATTCATACAAATATTTCGAAAGTACTGATATACTGGATCAGTTTTAATTGCGCAGTACTTTTACTGTAGGAATCAATGTGATTTCGTGTGCGACAGGTGTTTGCACGAAAGGTCTAATGGTGCAGAAACGGCTTAGGCCAAACAATATAGGTATGTACGAGCGAAACAGGGTTGTCAGTCAGCATGCCCGTAATGGACGGGAACGAGCGGAGACGAAGCTGAGCGTAGTGCATCAGAAGGTTTGTAGCCTAAACTTCTGCGAGTACTTCAGGCTACAGTGGTCTCTCGATAAACGTAACCACGTGGGCGATAAATTGTGTTCCCTTTACAGAGGGATTCATTAGGTCTAATGGCAAATACTGAGGTGTTGCGCAGACAAGGAACAATTTTCGAACGACTCGCTCGTTTTCCGGGTGATCCGATATATTCCGTAATTTTATAACAACAGCTACTTGAATAGAGCTCAACCACAATTATCGGGCTATTGCGCAAACACCTTGTGTTGCCAAATGGCCTCGACACTTCTGAAACGACGCGAGGCAAAGTTATCATACAAATAATAAACCAAAGGCCTTGGTATTATGGAATGATTCTAATTTTTACGGACATACAGCGGGTCCGGCTAAATATGGGACAAATTCAAAACATTAAATACAATTACACCTTAATTTACTCCGGAGCCTCTGCTTCTTCTTTCATTGGCAGATGGAGGTACAGGGGTTACCCGATTTAGTGCCTCCATATATAGTACATGACCAGGTTTAGTGCTACTCTAACGGCTCTACACCCAAACGTATGATAAACAAGTGTCCCCAGGCCCATCGAGCGATTCCCGAAGGACGTCATGGAATCTTTTTTAAAAGATATGTAGGGTCTATATCTCCAGGCCAAAAATGCAAATGTGAGTAATGTTAATGACCAAAGCGATGCCGCTGATATTGCCACGTTAAATGAAAGTAATATTAATGATTGGGTTATGGCAGAGGATTTGGAGACAGAAGCTCTAGAAGATGTGGAGAGAATTATGGAGGAAATAGATCGGTCTAGGTGTGTTTCATCTGCGCGAACTGAAGCAGAGCATACAGATAAAGTGATGGAGGAGATTTCTAATGCTAGTCAGTCTCGTCCTCTCTCCGTGATCGAAGCAGCGAATGATTTCTCAAAAATTAGAGGCGGCAGCGGTAGCCCTCTCGCAACCTGATGCGTCTTCACATTTTCACAAGGCCAGACGCATCATATTTGAGGCTCTCAAGCCACGCAAGAAGCAGAAACAGACGACCATGATGAGTTTGCATAGTTAAGGACGTGCCCGACGATATTTTCTAGAATGGGTCAGAAACGCACGTATATCATAAGGGCTATTTGTAGGTTGTTTTTAGTGGGCCACGACGTTTGAACTGCAACTCTACCCGCCTTTTTTCCTTCAAAGAGCAGGGGAAAAAGGCGGGCAGAATTGACAACGATATTGCGACCTTTGTAGCTCTTTTTGGTCGCAACGGGCACCTACGACCAACATGAAATGTGCTCTGTGCATCTCTACGAAGCGCAAGGCGACGGACAAAGTTTATGAGTCACTGCGCAAGGTGCTCCTCTCCAGAGGGGTGCCACATTTGGAA